AGCAGGTGATATTACTGAAGTGTCAGGAGATCTGTTCCTTGACTAGATGCCCTGCTGAGCACTGTCATAGACAATGAAGATGCAGTTAGATTGGTGAAGCACTCCCCAGGGACAGTATCAGCTCTGTTTTCAAAATGGAGCAAGCAATGAAATGTCTGGCTTGACTTCCAGTGATGCACCTGACATGGCTTTCACAGCAATCTGTTTATGCTCCTCCTACCTTCTAGCTCTGCCGGTCAGTCTATCCTTTCCTTTGGCTCTACTGCTCACAACTGACACTCCTCTGGAAACAGGTTCAATTATGTTTGTACTGTGTTGTCCTCCACCTGAAAAACAGGATGCACAAGGAGCTAGGTGGCAGTATATCCAGCTGTGGATCTGCTCTGTAAACTGGTTCTGTCATTGCCCTATCCTCTTACAGCCATGGAATCTGGTATTGTGATGAGAGATAGAAGAAAGCCAGTAGCAGTCTACTTGGCAGCTTCCTTCTCTCTCCTCAGGTGTACAGGGGACAAACATATAAAAGCCAAAGCCCGGTGGTGTTTAGGATTATTTTGTACTGGTCATCTCTCCTATGCTGTTCTCAGATCCAGAATGCAGCCTCACCATCTTTTTGGCTAGGGACACACATTCAAAAAGCCTGAGCCTGAATTGATTCAATTTTTGCAGCTTAGTCTAACCTGCCTAGGGCTAAACCCATTTTGTAACAAGAGATATCTCAGAAATGCAGGCACATGCCTGCAGTGGCTCAGGCTAGAAGCTGGGGGGCGCTAAAGCAGTCTTCCCTTCCTTCCACAGCATGGAGCTGACGGGGGCATGGCCAGGCTCTGGCAGGATGCTGTGATTAGCCCAGCAGGGAATTGATAACAGTGTTTATCAACCAATTAAGAAAACAACAGAGGGACATTACCAGCTACTTGTTGATTCTGCCTGTTGATTCAGCACTGAGGTAGCCAGCTTGTAGTCTGCTAGCTAATACACAGACACCTCCTCTGCAAGGCAGAGGGGAGCAGGGAATTCCTGCTCAGCAGGGAGGGGAGGGGGGAAGCAGGCCGCAGTCTCTGGAGCTGCAGCTAGAGCAGAGGGGAGGGGCCAACCCTGTTGCAGAACAGAGAGCCCTACCCAGCCCAGAGAGCATGCTGGGATGCCGGGGGTGTCTGGTTTATCTTAAACCAGCAAGGGGTCTGGGACAAACATTGCATAAACTGGTTTGAGCCAAATCAGTTAAGTCTGATACTACATTCAACCAGTGTCATCTCAAACCAGTTTCAGCTATTCTCAAACTGGTTTATGTGCACTGAACATCTATTCTGTTACAGGTTTAAACCAGTTTCTGATCCCACTAACCAGTTTATGTGTGATGTCTGTCCCTAGCCTTTCTTCCCACCACCTCTCAACCCTAACATATTCCCTGACTGATACTCCTGGTTGACCCCCTCTAGCTGTCACCTATAGACAATGAGTAGGGGGGCATGTGCCCCACCACCCCGAGACTGGCCACTGCCAAAGCCGTCACTGGCTTCTGCGGGTGGTCGCTGGTTGCACCTGCTCCCCACTTGCTGCCAGTGTGGCCGTCAGTGTCTTCAGGCAGTCTTCGCTCGCTGCTTGCCACCGCCGACACTGATACCTGTATCTGTGGGCGGTCCCCACTCACCACCATAGTGCCCCCCCAGTCTCGGGAGGCACCAGTCGTTCATGCTGTCACCTGTCCCTTCAGTTCATTCAGAGTCACTTGGCTACCACCGTCACACCCCCATATCCTTCTGAAAGTGTCTGAGGAGTAGGGGTAGTCCCTGGGCAAATGTAATTTAACATTTAACATGTAACGACCCTTAATTTGATACCAAAAGCTGGTAGGTTTGTGCTGTAACTGTAAATCTAACCTATTCTTGAAGAGGACAGTACTCTAGGCACTAGCACAGATCTCCAGCTTTGATCAAGATGTCTTAGACCCCTGACAGCAGTTTGTCTCAATGAGAGTAAATGAGTCATTCAGGGGTTCTGCTCACCTCTCCCATCAGAAGGAAAGGACTGATGCTGGAATTTCTTAGAGTTTCTTCCCCCTGAAAGGATAAAGCATGCATGAAAGGCAGTGGGTAGTAGGGTTATACAGCGAGAGCACAACAGAGATCATGGATTTCATGTGATTTGTCCTAGCAAAAAAGCCTCACTCCATCAATGCACTCCTGTAAATGGGAACTGGGGTAGATTTATCCTAATAAGGAAGCTACCATATGCCACAGAAAACAAGTTAATAAGCAGTACAAGACCTCTGGAAGTCGAACAGGTCTTAGTCATCATACAGAGAACAAGTTACTGAATCAGAGCCATTGTTCCTCCCACTCCACACTGGGGAACAGAGAGCACTACCACCCATGTGCACAATTCAGATCCTTTGCAGAGTGTCAAGATCCACACCATGCATTCAACGCCACTTCTGCACCGTTCCAAAGGAAAGCAAACTCTCTAAGGGAGCCTCACAGCTGACATGAACCAGTGATCCACATGAGCAGGTTTAATTAGTGTAAAAACAGAGCCAAGTATCTCCTTTTCTGACCTTTTTTATTGCTGTGATTATCCAAGATTGGCTCCCCATCCTTAGCAAAGCTGTCTTCAAACCTGCAAGTAAAAAAAAGAATAGCATCAGATAGAAAAAACACTCTCTGGAGTAAGCAAAGCCTATGCCTTAAGTCTTCAGCCAGGTATCCTTACACACACTTTTCCATAATTCATAGTGAATACAGTCACTAAGACTGTAATCATGTGACAAAATATCCCCACACAATAAGAAATATATTGAGATCCTAGAGCAGAATGGAGACCTCCAAGCCATTCTAGGATTAAGATGCAACAAAAATGCTAAATGTGTCTTCAATTGAATCTTGGACCTCAATAATTTTGATAGAATGGTAGCTACTGGTAGCTACACAGGGAATAGGGGAAATCCCAAGGAAATGAAGGTATGGGCAAAGTGCATGGGAAACGGTCAAAGAAATATGATTAATTAATTTATCCCATGGTTGTAAAATTTATCACATGGCTTTCTTCAGAATGACTAGGGACAGATGTTCAATGCAGCAGACAGAGAAAAAACTTGTCAAAACTTCTCTGTTGGCACTTTTAGCCAAAATCTTTCTCTCACTGCAAAAAAATACCAGCCCAGAAACTTTCAACTTTCTACCTGCTAATAATAACCAGCTGTTACTTTTTCACTTTAATAACACATCATTTGAAGATCTCAGAGTACTTCACTAATATTAAACTGCACCAAACTCCTGTGAGTAAGGACTATTATTTCTGTTTTAAGGACAGGGAAACTGAGATAAATTGTCAGCCATAATTTTTAGTGGTGCTCTGAAATTTCCCTTGAAGTCAAAGCATCTCTAAAAATCAGTTTCTAAGTGATGGTCCCTGATCAGATAGGAACTGCTTGGTAGAGACAGATCACTCGGATATCAATCATATCTCTTAACCAAAAGATCATCTTACATATCTGTCCTATATAAAGCCCTTTTGGAAAAGAAGTGTGTGAAATGAGTCTTTGTGAGCAAGATCCTCAGCCTAGAACATGTAATGGCCCACTCTTACAAATGCTCCACTCATCTGCAGGTAATACAACTTATTCAAAAGCCCCCTGACCAGTGCATTTTAGGTGGCCAAGTGTTGATGACAAGACAAAAGTATAAATCAAGAAGGGATATACCTCACACCTCTACAAGATACACAATAAATGTTCTCCAACAGGCACGTACACTGTTTTAGTGACCTGCCTGATCCCAGCACTGATCGTGCATAGTGGAATGCCAAATGGGGCTCACTTTACAAGACAGGGACAATGTAGTAGGGTTGGCTTTTTACAGAAATGAAAAGGAGGTAAGGGATTGGAGAGAAACATTTGGAATATCAAAACAGATTTGCCACGCTGTCCCTTTCAGAACAGCTTCAGCCCTCTCCTGCCCAGTCCATGGATCTGACATTGAAAAGCCAAGTGAGATTAATGGGAGGTCATCCTCTCTTTAGTGGAAGAGACAGTGGGCTACAAGGTACCTCCCTGTACTGCTCTCTGGCTCCCTGTAGAATCCATAGAGATCAACCTCAAGGTTTTAATACGCCACTTCTTGCCAGCTCACAGTGCCCCATCAGGATATAAGTCCCGCTGCCAGAACCTGGCATTGTCCATATATGGCCTGTAGCATGTAAAGGACCACAGGGATTTGAAGACCTACATGTGCTCTGACTTTTCTACATCCCACGCCCGTCGCCATTCACCCTTTGCATTCTTGTGGCGTGCTAGTCGTTCCAGGTCAATCTGATCCCGCTCTTTCTTCCACCGTACATATTCTGAGCGCTCCCGTCCAGTCATAGTGAAACCCACGTCCCCTGGATTCTTCTGCAAAGACTTCCCTCCTTCCTAGTGGGAACAAATGAGCAGCTCATTAAGACAGTACCGCCTTCCAGGAACACTCTAACAAGTGAAGTATTAAGTACCTATCCAGTGGAAATAATATCTGTAATGAAATGGGTCTTCCACTATAAAGTGATAAGCACCCTGGTGGGGCTCCATAGATAATAGTAAATGCACTTCATCCAGAGTCCTCCACACTTTACAAAGGTTCATAACATTTCTATCAGTTAACACAGAGAAACCAAGGCACAGAGAGGTGGGAAAAAGTCACAAAGCAAGCCTGTAGCCAATCTAAGAGTAGCAACTAGTCCTCCTGACTTCCAGTTCCTCACTAGAGCACTCATCCAGGAAAATCTTGTCATAAGGCATACTAACTTATTTCTAAAAGGCAGCTGCCACAAAACTGCAACTTTGAGAACACTAAAAATCCTCACATTTGCCAGCCTGGATACACCTCTATTGCACTGGTGGGAGGTATTTCCATAACTTTGCCCCCACTACCTGCCACAGTAAACCAGCTCCTTTGGTTCCTGGGTAGCTTTGGGGATGATCTGCCTTGGATGATAAAAGCAAAATTGCTGTTTGAACCAGGTTGCAGTTGCTCTTAAGCATGGCTTTTCAATTGAGCCACTTGGTGCCTGATTTGTAAACATTTAAAAAACATGTTACTGATGTTACTGTAACTCTGTGTGCCAGTGGCCAAGGTTACCGGTTTCCCATGCTCAATGTATCCAATTTGTGCATTCAGTCACAGTAATTGCAGGTATAAAGCAGGCAGTGGTCATTTACACGCTGCGTCCCTGCATCTACCCGCTTAAATGTTACTATTTTTCCTGGAAAATGCACTTAGCCAAAGCCTATCCAATGCTGCCTATTGTAGACAGCCAGTTCCAGGACTGCATGTGACAGAGGCCTTCAGCACTTTTTTACTGTAGACAGTTATTTCTGTGTTACCAAATCCTTACATGAGCTACAAAGGGACAAGGAGTAAAAGCCCCATAATAGCCTTGAACTCTTTGTTAGTAATAATCCTTTCCCCCAACCCTTTCACCCTCCAACACAAGTGAGTAAGAAGCAATCATTTTGCAGCCAACCTCTAGCTCAGTGTGCTATATAATCAGCATAAAATACACAAATCAGAAAAATATCCTCTGAGCGAGGGACTGTTCACTTCCATTGCTTGAGTCCTCTTGAGTTATTGCTCTATCTCACGATGTAGTAGCTGGGTGCTTTTGTTATTCAAGACCTTAGAATCTGAACAAAAAGCCAGTTCAGAACAAAGTCAAGAGTGCTGGAGGGGCATGGATGTAATACAATGACAGTTTAATGGACCCCACTGGAGGTGGGAGCCAACTGGCCAAGGCCTGTTATCAAGTGGAGTTATATAATAAGTAGTTTAGCACAGAACAAGTCCTGGGATGTTAATTATTGATGGATAAATCACTACTCCACATTTCTTTGCTTCAAAGCCAGCCACCTCCACCCTTTCCCCCAAACAGGAATTAATCTCCTTGGCGATTCATTGAAGATCAAAATAGACTGGAGGAAAATGAGTGACTGAAAAGCCTGTTTCCAAGGAGACCCACCTGTGTAGGTTGGGAGAGGTGGAGGGAGCAATTGCTCTTTAGTTCTTTAGCAAAGGGAGTCCAGGGACCTGAGAAACTTATCAGTGAAGGGGAGGGTAAGAAAGAGGCCTGGACCTCAGGTCTTAAGCACAGGAAAACTAAGTCATGGTATCACAAAGCCTGCTATTCTGAGAAGTGCAAAGTTGGGTTTAAACCCTCCCTGCAACTTCCAGGTCCTCCTCTCGCTGTCCCATATGCATCACAAGGGATGGGACAAGCTTTGTGAACAAGTTAAGTCCTTGGGAAAGCATGACAGGGTATAACAGTGGCAGCATGATCTGTGCTATATGCAGACAGACCCTTTGCAAGCTCACCCATCAGCTACAGTGCTGCAAAAGCATCTCAAATCCAACTAGTGACACCAGCACCGCTCGAGAGGATACTGACTGTCCTCCCATGTGAGAACTGAGTGGAGACTGCAATGCGTTTGTAACGAGCACAGAGGAAGATCAGGCAAGATCTAAAGAAGTAACTTCCACTGAACACCCAAAACAAGAGTTGACCCCAGGTGTCTAGAGGCGAGAGGCCAGGATGTCGGTCCTTTGTGCCCAGGCCCCTATGATAGCTGCTAGGCAACCAAGCCAGTCAGGATGATGGAAGCCTTGAAGCCATCAGATAGCGTGCACCTTGCTGAATGACTGTGCTATTTGTCAGGTAAATAAAGATATAAATCTGCTGCCTACCAATTGCAGGCTGAAGGAGCTGTTTACCAAGGAGCTGGGGCTCAGCTCAGCTTGGGTACAGCTGTGTTTCCTGGACCACAAGGGAGACCAGCCAGGCAGTCCCGTGCTGCTTTGCTGAATGCAGCTGAATTTAATGCTCAGAAGCTCATCTGTGTTCTCCTAATGAATGGTACTAGGGCACGGGCTTTTCAATTTATGCTCCATTAATTAAGAGTACCTGCCAGCTCAGGGGAGCCAGTGCTTCCTCCTGGGGCTTGTATTAAACAGTCAGTCCTACTCTGGCTAACACTATGGACTGTGGCTAATGCAGCTGGAACCTTTCAACCCATAAACAAATTATAGCAAAAGGGAAAATAGCCAATGCAAAGGCAATCACTGTGGCTGGGCAAAATTCCTGGCAGTACCTCCGGTGTGTTAAGAGATATGGGCTTAGACAGCAACCTCCCTGCTTTTAATTCCCTGGCTCTAGAAAAACATGACATTCAGGTATCTGCCAGCTGTTCTGACAGCACCCTCTGCTGGCTTCTCTGCTCAATATCGCTTGAAATGGAATTCCAGGAGGGGGACTGGATTTCCACTTCTGCCACTTAGACATAGGACGCATGCCTGTGAATGTCCACATAAAGACAAGATGATTTGAAGGGCAGAGAATTAACAGTACCACCAAATAAAATGGTGTCTAAAGGACTTTGCAATCCACAAGAAGGACAATTAAAAAGTGCCTGTTTATTTCCAGGTATGGTTAGCTCTAGAGAAATCTGAGTTCATGAAGCTGAAGTCAAACTGGTGCAAGTGTAGTCCAAGGGATCACTAAGAACAAGGAACCCTGCACCAACAGTTCTTTATAGAAATCCAGTGCACAGAAATCTCTACTACCACTGCCATCTCAAAGCCACTTCCTGCAGGATCATTTGATCAAGCTAGGCATTTACACATTGCTCATCATCATCAGACATCTGGGCACAGCACAGGGAGGGGGAGACAGAAAGTTCCTTGGGCAACACTTCTTAGTAGGCCAATAATTACTCCACCAACACTAATTCATCCCATGTAGTTTATAAGCTATATCAATTCTTTTTTAGTTTGCATTTTCTTCACAACCATGCTATTTAGAACCAGATGGGACAGAGCACTAGATAATACAGCCTAAGGTACAATGCCGCATTGGGAGGGGAATGGATGCCATGATTTAGTAAGACTTTTACATCTCTGAGCTCTATAGTTTTATTGAGAAACTTGTCCTTTTTTTTACTGGAATAGGTTTGTTTCACAGTCTGGGAAAGTGACGGATGAGACAGACGGAATGGACTTCACAAGTGCAACAGGCTGCACACAAGGGTCACTGCAGAAATAAGACAGGCACTACTAGCACCACTCTGAGAACTGATTCCTAGAGGTGCTGAGTGCCTAAAACTCTGATTAAAGCAGTTTTGGCTATTCAGTCCCTCTGATAATCAGGCCCTGAAGGAGGACACAACCCCACTCTTATCCGCATCACAGGACATGAGGCCCCTCTCACCTTTCTGCTGTGCTCATTATCAGGGCATTTGTCTGTCTCTGATCTCCTCCTTTCCACTGGTTTCTTTTCATCCACCTGAAGGAAAAAATAAAGCCATTCATTCCCAACTGAGCAGGGACTCCACCATGAAGAATCAGTCCCAGGCTGCCTTGGCAGTCCAAAATCAGAAGGGTTTGCCCAAGAGGCACAAAAGATAAAGAGAAGGGAAAAACTGGCTACTGGGGCAATGAGTCAAACTGGCAGGGAAAAGGAGGTGGGAAAGCAGAGAGATACCAGGATACAATGAGGAAAGCAGCCAAAGGAACAAATCCCTCCCCCTCACCATGTCAAGGGGTGAACTCCCGTCTAGAGAAAGCTTAGGCATCAAGGTGCTGTGTAAAACACCACTGTAACTGAGTCAAGGAACCAGGTGCACCTTTGACAGTTGCAGACTACTATAATTAAAAGGACACAATGAGATCCCGTCTACATCACTTAACTGTGTTGTGAACAAATCCCCAGAACTTGCTATAGTGCCCTTAGAATCATAGACAAGTAGACCTGGAAGAAACCTTGGGAGGTCACCACTAGCCCAACCCCTTGCTCAAATCAGGATTATCCCTGTCTAAACTATCCTAGCCAAGTGTTTGTCTAACCTATTCTTAAAACTGCACAAACAACCCTTTCACACAAGTATAAAGCACAGTGCCCAAAACATCAGGAACACACTAAGTTGCTGCAGGTAAAGTAGGAGTCAAAGGCACTGTCAATGTCCTGCTATCCATGTCACCATCACCAGCTTCAGCATGCCAGGCAATTTCATTCGGCTCATGGGCACCCACCAATTAATTGTACACCATCCAGCCCGCGTGCCTCACTCACACCCTCCTGTGCAGGAGGGCCCTGGCCTGGCCAGTATGCACTGCTTCTGAGCAGGGCTGCTGCTTCCACTGCTGCAGCCACCTGGGGACCTGCTTAGCTTCCCCAGCCTCCAGTGACTCCTCTTCATGTCTCTCCTGCAGCGCTTGCTCTGGGCAGCAGGTAGGGAAGCTGCAACTGGGTAGAAGTGCAGAGCATAGGGCTGGCAGGAGCATGGAGCTGGCGGGAGCCTGAGGCCCGTGCCCCATGGGGTGGTAAGAGTGCAGAGGTCAGGTGGGCAGGGTGTGGGTGGAGTTAGTGGGGTGTGAGGGAGGGTGGGGGATGTGGGGATCCCCCCACATGCCCCTCGCATGGCACATAGCCCCCCGCTACCAGCAGATCCCCACTCCCTGCTTCCTGGGGGAGTCCCATGATCTGCACATGACGGCAGGAAGTGGGGAAAGCAACCAGCTCCATCATGTAGGGCTACCCCCCAGTGGCACACAAGTCCCTGGAGCTGCACATGAGCCCCACATGATAGAGGCAGGCTGGCCTGGCTCCAGTCCTCACTGCCAGGTGCAGCTCCCACAACTGGTTGGCCACATGCTGCCCAGCTGCACCCGTGTGGTCCATGAGCCCCCTCAAGGGCCCACCACCTGCTGCTGCTGGCGTTAGGGCCTGTGCACCCTGGGGATGGTATATCAGCGGCGGGTCCCCACACACCTTACCTTCCCTCATACCCCACAAACCCCACATACCCCACAACCCTCCCATACATACACACCCCCAACATACCCCACACTCCCCACACACAGCCACACCCTCTCACCAACCCCACACACCCCACCATACACACACAATCATCCCCCCAGGCACATGATGCACACTCCCACACACACCCCTCCCACAAAATATACAAGAGTAAGACTTTATTTTTGAGTTATTATGCAATCACCTCTATATACACTATGCAAACACACATAAATCAGGACAAAAATATTTTTTGAAATAAAATTAAAATATGTTATAGTAGATGTTTAACTTTTGGTATATGATTTGGATTTGTTCTAGTTCCAAGATGGCAACCCCACCCCCGAAAAGCAGTACGTCCAGGGGCAAAGGGAGGAACTTCTGGTGGCAAAGGTCACAGGTCAGGGGCAGGACTTCTGGTTTCAAGATGGTGGCCAGGGAGCAGGGCACATGTCAAAGGGTGGGGCTACCATTGTGGCCCTTGATAACTGACCAAAACTCATTAAGTAGGTCTCGGGCCAAAATAATTGCCCACCCCTGGCCTATACAGTCTGCCTGTGAGATCAGTAATCATTATTATCTCTGTTTTATTGAAAATGAGAGATGAAGGCTTGGAGCAGTTAAGTGACTTGCTCTGAGGTACCCAGGAAGTTTGTAGCAGAGCTGGGAATAGAAATCATGTTTCCAGGCTTTTGTACCATCCCTCTGAGGATGCTGTTTCCATTCAACATGACACTTGGCTTCTGCGATTCCTTCTCACCCACATTCCATTCTCTTTGAATAGAGATTTTCATTTTTCACACCTGGCCCAGTTCTGTTCTGAAGCCCCACTGTTGTTTTCTTCTAGAAATCTCCTTCCCTGTCCATTACACCTTTCCAGACTTGAGTACTTAGTGTTTTCTTTCTGACTAGGAAGGCAGAAACCTATCTTAGTTCACAGCGCACTACAATGTCACTGAGTTTGTCTACACATGCAATCAATGCGCCTGAATTTTCCGTGCAGAAAATTCAGGTGCATTAGAATGGGCATCTATGCACATGCGCCCACATACGGAGCAAGCTGAGCCCAACAGGAGCCTAGTTCAGGGCTGCTCCTGCTGTGTTCTACCCCCCTGCAGCAGCCAGGGGGAGCTCTAGGGTCCCTGGGTGCCAGACCTGGGCTGGCAGGGGACATGGGAGTCAGGCCCCAAGCCCTAGGGGCTGGGAGGGAGCTGTTCCAGCTCTAGAGGCAGCTCCCTCCCAGCTGCATAGAGATGAAGGCTAACCCTGATCTCTGACTGGTTGGGAGAGAGCTGGCCCCAGAGCCAGGACAGCTTCCCCTGTCTCCTAGATCTCAGGGCCAGCCCTGATCTCCACGCACCTAGAAGGGAGCTGCCCCTGGAGCTGAAACAACTCCCCCTACCCCCAGGGCTCAGGGCTTAGCTAGGTCCCCTGCTGATTATGTTGTGGTCACCTGCTGCCTGGGCTGACCAGGAGCAACTTGCAGTTTGCTTCAGACTAGCATCTACACATGCGCTTTGGTGCATTAGTTTGAAGCACTATGTTCTAGTATCTGCATCTATGAGTACTAGCAGTAATTGCTGCACACATGTAGATGGTGATGCTTTACTGCACATTAGATTAGTTCAATGCACAATAAAGCATCTCATGTAGACATGCCCATTTGTGGCAACAGCTTGCAAGAGGCACTGGTGAAGTACAAGCTTCTTCACATTATGCCTTAGCATCAGCAGTGTGGTGCAACTGCTTTCTGGGACCCAGTTTAGGGACATTCATAGTCTGGGAACATCATGAGATAGAAGCATAAGCCTGGCATCACTTAGAGTATGCCGTTGGTGGGGAGAGAGGAGCGCAAGCTGTGTGTCTAATTAGGTCACTTTCCTGAATCTTGTCTATGTTGAGGTTTTCTGAAAGTCTCCCAACTGCCACAGTGAATGTGAGATTTACCTCTACTCAGATGAGTAGGAGATGACATGATAGGAAAAATGTCAGTATCCTGGCTCTACCAATGGTCCCATGATTGATAACACCTGAGCAAGACTTTCAGAAACACACCAGGGTAAGGTGCTTCCTGTCATCCTACAGAGTGAAGGAGATGCCATGATGGAAGATATGATTTAGCCCAGGGTTTGGCAACCTTTTCTAACAGCAGGCCAGAGTTTGCAACCCAGCCACTGCTGGACCACCTGCTGCCACTCCAGTCATCCTGGCTCTGTGGGAAAGACTACTCTTTTGCAGCCACCCCTGAAACATATGCCACCTGCAGTGATCTGCAGTGGCTAATTCAGCAGCAAGGGTAAGCAGTGCAGGGACCACAAAACACCCCTCTGCATAGAGCAGGGTTGTCTGGAATGGCAACAGATGTTTGTCTAGCTTCTGGCAAAACGTGAGAAAGATCTGACAGCTGGGCAGCATGTGAAACAAATTAGACCTTTGCAGGTTGGATCCAAACTCTTTGCAGGCCTAATGTGGCCCATGGGCCATAGGTTGCCAACCCCTGGTTTTGCCAAAACGAGTTACTGGGCTCAATACAGGGGGATATAAGGGAAATGCCAGGACTTTGAAATACGCAGGAGATCAGGCTAGAGATGATCTTATAGTCTCTTCTGTCATTAAATGATCTGAAATGAAGAAGCCCTTTGCATTTGAGGTTGCAGTGACCTAACCCCATGGCAGCAGCAGGAGTATACAGCAGAGGGAAGCTAGCTCTCACCTTCCAGAGCAACAGGGATTGGAAAACTAGCTACCTTCTTGCTTAAACTTCTTTCAATGCTGCTGCCAAACCAAACAGGAACAGAGGGTAGGGAGGAGACTTTGCTTGTCAGAAGCTCTTCTCCTTCTTGCCCTGGTCCACCTCAAAACCTAATATTATCACTAGAATGTTTGGGAGAGGCCTAAAGCTTGTCTACACAGGGGACTCATTCCAGGATTAGGTGGGGTTTAAAGCACAAGAGCTATTTCAATATGAGAGTGGTCATAGGGGCAGTTATGGCAGAAGCACTTCCTTGGGTAGATAAGACCTGAGCCCCTCTGGCTAAGGAAGCAAAGGTTTCTCCATCTGTTTCTCTCCTTTATTATGGCACCCCTGCTTCCTCACTGGGAGTTGCCTGGTAGAAGATGTGCCTCTATCTCCTGTCCTGCATCCTTTAACTCAGCAGTGTCAAACTCACCCTGGGCCCCAAGTCAGATCTGGACTAAAGGAGCTACATACAGGCAACACGGAGCTAGGGGCATGCATCAGTGCAGAACTCTGGCTGGGCACCGGCACAGAGTGCAGGGCCTGTGGTTGCACAGAGCCACATTTGGGCAGCAGCACAGAGCTGGAGCCAGGGGCATGCAGCAGCATGGACGTGGACATGACCATGTATGGCAGGCCCCCAGCTTTGTATAGCTGCCTGCATGTGGCTCTGTGCAGCCACATACCCATGGCTCTGTGCCACTGTCCAGCCAGAACTCTGCGCCACCTCACAAATGTATTTCCAGGCACT